AACAGTTTGCTGCCTGATTGTCTCCATGGAAATGTTCAATCTTTATGGAGACACGCAGATAACACTACCAGGTCAAGTTACAGGTAAAGGCAACCTTTCCCACATTTTTTGAGGAATATTAGAGAGATTAAAACATGTTTGCATGTAGAGCACAGGTTAAATACATATAAGAGAGATATTACTATGCCACAGTAAAAGCAAAAACATCTCCAAGAGAAAGTGGTGGACAGCACACCAGAGAAGGTACATGCCCCTTTGTAGCAAACAGCAAGTGAATAATGTTCCAGTTAGTGATGCATCGGTACGATACTGGTATTGAAAAATTAGTTGGATCAGTTCAGCTGATAATGCAATATTACATGCTGATTTTGGTCTAGAATGTCTCACAATGTTCTAACTTTTTTTTTTATACGAAGTGGCTCTGTAGTTATTTGAAAGATAAATTACAGGTACACAACACAAACAGATCTCTCGGATAATAAGTTAACTGTGTTTTAGGACATTTTTAAGGAAATTTTTATTGACTGATAGTTAAAAGTGCACATTGCAACTTTTTCTGTGGAGGGTCCATCACCTTAGCCTGATTCATCAGCCAGTTTCACTTCGTGGAAACCGTCTGACCTCACAGCATTAGGATTTGTTTGCTTGACGGTAGGCGGGTACTTTGTTTATTTGACCAATCTTTATTTAAGCAATCACTGCTATTTGGTCATGACATATGTAATGCGCCAAATCCCGTAGGAAGAAGGGCAATAATGTCTTTCCCCTTGATAAAATTCACTGAACATTCTCTTTGTTCGGGCTTTAATCTTTAAGTCCAACACAGAATGTATGGCTTTGTCTACACTCTACATCCATCTCGACCGCTTTGTTTACTGTTGTGCTGTACCACAAAAGGGACCCAGACAGGTGCTTCACAGCTCTTCACTGATGCGTGGTCTACAACTCCCAAGGTTCTTGCAAATCGTCTAAGTGTATTCCAATTCCTGACCTAGTCGCAGGAGAGAAATGAAATTGAGCAGAGGCACTAGGTGGCGCCAGCCTGGCTACCATCACCTGCTTTTCTCCATGGAGATGTTATTGCTTTACTGGAATGTTCCGTGGTATGACATTAAACACATCTATCTAGTATTTATACATTACAGGTGTTTCTATTGTTCAAAAATACAATAATTCTCCACAACCAAACCAAATCTCTGACTTGTAATGTAGCCACAGTTGTCTCCCTTGAGATAGATAGGATTATTCTCTAGTGTGGAACATTCTACACAAAGCAATAATATCTCCAGGAAGACAGAGTTTTTATCAGCATCAGAAATGAAAAAGATGGATTGGTGCATTCCTGGTGTCAGTGAATTGATTTACATGCGCTAATCTAACTGGTTACACCTTCTCCCAGAAATAATTACTAAAGGATGCAGATATTATAACATTAAGACTTTTTTGTATACTCTGACCTCATTGTCCAGTGCCCTTCTCAAAATCATTCATTTAATCAGGCACGGTGAAGTCACCTCTGCCTGTCAGTAATTAGGAGAACTTATTATTTACAGATTTATTTCCACTTTTTGGTAACTTTTGTACTTGTGGAAAAAATGTAGCTCAATAAAACTGTGTATTGTCTAAAGCAAATAGTCACCACCAGAGTGCAGATAAGATTGTGCAAAATTGGTATTGGAAAAAAAAATAAATGACTCCCACAGCGGCTGCAGTCTCTCTTGCTGCGCAGTTGTTTAGTAAGATACATGCTGACATAATAACTATTGGGGAACCAGAAGATTAATGTAGATTTGTTGGATAAGTTGGATAAGTTTAACTGATTTTAGAGGAAAATTGTTGTTTACTTCTTGGGCTATACAATATTTACTGAGCTGGTAGGTAGCATAAAATAGATTTTGTATTAGTGTCTGTGACAGTAATTGAAATAAAATAAAATGCAATTCTGATACTATAACAGTTCTGCAGTATAAAATCTGATATATCTCTATTATATGTTAGAATCCATGTATGTATGCACTGGTTTCTCATCACTGGTGCCCTCTCTGACAAATTCACCCAGCACATATGATGGAGCAAATTAAACAGCTATTATTGACACATTAATATACAGAGACGATGCCAGTGTTTGTGCTAGACTTAGTGTGAATTCATCTGCTCTCACGGGGCTCCCAACCTTAGTGTGAAAAAAATGTGCTAATTCCTAAATGTTTGGCACTCGCTATAATTTATGTATTTGAGTATTTTATAAGGCTTTGTTGACCTCTATTGAACATTTGAGACCTATAAAGCATCTGAAACTTGTGAGTGAAACTAAAACTTTGTGCACTATGTGTTTGCATTAAGGCAAGGCAAGGCAAGGCAAGTTTATTTGTATAGCACAATTCGTACACAAAGTAATTCAAAGTGCTTTACAGAATAAGAAATACATTAAAATCATAATAAAAACAAATCAAAACATAAATAATCATGAAGATTAAAATTAAAAAAAGAGAGACATAAATTGGAGAGAAGAGTGCGGAATGAAAACCTTTCAGTCATATGCACAGTTAAACAGAAATGTTTTGAGCCTGGATTTAAACAGCATCACAGAAGAGTCTGTCTCACATGTTCAGGAAGACTGTTCCAGGTTTTAGCTGCATGAACCTGAAACGCTGACTCCCCTTGTTTAGTCCTGACTCTGGGCACCAGCAGGAGGCCGGTCCCTGAGGTCCTCAGAGTGCGAGATGGTTCATATGACACTAACATGTCACAGATGTACTTTGGTGCTCGGCCATGGAGAGACTTGTACACAAGCAGAGCTGCTTTAAAGTCTATTCTCTGAGGCACAGGAAGCCAGTGCAGAGACCTGAGCACAGGACTTATGTGCTCGTACTTCCTAGTTCGAGTAAGGACCCGAGCTGCAGCGTTCTGGATGTTCTGCAGCGTCTCACAGCTCGTTTGGAGAGACCAGTGAGCAGACCATTACAGTAGTCTAATCTACTGGAGACAAATGCATGGATAAGTTTCTCCAAGTCTGCTTTAGACAGTAAACCTTTGATTTTTGCTATGTTTTTTAGATGGTAAAAGGCTGCAGATGTTATTGATTTGATGTGGCTGTTAAAGTTCAAGTCTGAGTCCATTATTACCCCTAGATTTCTTGCCTGATTTGAAGGTTTTAGAGAGAGAGACTGGAGGTGACTGCTGACACTGTCCCTTTGTTTCTGTGGACCAAACACTATGACTTCAGTCTTGTCAGAGTTTAGCTGGAGAAAGTTGTTTTGCATCCACACACTGATCTGTTGGATGCAATGACCAAGTGAGTCCACTGGTCCATAGTCTCCTGCTGCCAGAGAGACGTAGATCTGAGTGTCGTCTGCATAATTGTGGTAGGACACATTACACAGTCAGTGGTGGAAAGTAACAAAGTAAAAAAGTAAAAGTGCTAGTACAATTTTAAGGTATCTGTGCTTTACATGAGCAGATTTTGCACTAGACTAGATACTTTGCGTTTACTTCATTTAAGAACATGTATCTCTACTTCACTGCATTATTAAATTAGACTGAAACATAACAAGTACTTTTCCCTGAGGGGTTATGGTAACATACTGACTGAAGGTTTTGAGTTAAAGTCCTGTCTTGAGGAAACAGAAATCTGTGTGAAATGTGTTTACGTTTTATTCTTAAAGTACAATTCAGTACAGGTACCCCAATGCTTTACATAAGTAGAATGAATTAATATGATACCTTTACATGAGTATTTTTTGCTCCTATATCTGTACTTTTACTTAAGTAGGAAAATTGAGTAATCCCTCACTTTAACAATGTAACCCTCCAGTTGAGACAAAAAGCTGTCCCTCATGTGTTTTTTGCTAAAATCTGGAGATTTCTGAAAGTTTCATAATTAACACAAGGTCATTATTTGTGTCAAGAACAATTATGTTTTTAATAATTGTGTTTGGTAGCTCTTGTCCTCATTATATAAATGCTTAATTAGTTTTTCTATGGAAGAGGAATCTCACTTAATTAATGAAATAAGCAGAATAAATGAATGAAGAAAATTGAGTTGTTTTGGTTTTGGACAAAATGTGACTTGGTGTGAAAGCTTTGCAAAATATGAAAATCTCATTCTTTAACTATATCATTATCAGTTTTGCTGAAGAATAGCAGTGTTCATATTAATAAATGTAATCTTTGTAACAGAAAATTCCAAAAGTACACCCTTAAATGTAAGTAATGCCAAGCAGCACCAAGAACTGAAACTGGACCAAACTTAAATTTAAAAAGATCTTTGCCAGGGGTAATTGTAAAATGAAGGTTAAACCGGTGAGAAACTTAAAACTCAAAATAAAGAATTCTCAACCACGCAGGGTGAAGCTTATTTAATGTATTTATCTATTAAGAATATTACACAATGCAGTTACAGCATAATGTAGAGATCTCTGTACTAGTCTGTAGCTTGGCAGCTCATTCCCATCTGTAGTCCTTGTAGTCCATGCCTAATATACACAGTCCAGATAATACATATGTCTCATCCATTATCCCTTTACAACTTTTCAGATAACCTCTGTATTCATATACAGCATAAAATAAGCAATTCATTTAGCATGGCCTGATTCATTAAACATTTACATTTGATTTAAACACACATGCAGTCAAAAGAATACCTAAGTATTAAGATCTCTAGCAAAAATTAAAACTGGATGAAGAACTCAACTAATAAGGTTTGAAACAGATATTAGAAAATACCAAATAAACTCATAGCCATCAACATTAGAGAAACCTCAGACCCCACTGGCACATGCACCACAGTTTGTGAAGCACTATCGTGGGGTTTGACAATGGATTTTAATTGTCATGTTTCATTCTCTCTCCTGCAACATCCCCTTTTCCAGTGGGCCTATCTTCTGTCTCATCTTTGCTTTATTGCTATCTGTCTCGCTCCTAAGTGCTGCCTGATCCTGATTAAAATGTGCTGGCTGACCTCTGCTCCTGATCTATTTCCTCTCTCCTTTTCCTCACAGTGTCCTGAGGGGCTGAGGCCGATGAAGGATGGGTCCGGTTGCTATGACTACTCCCGGGGCATCGACTGCACTGATGGCTTCAATGGCGGCTGCGAACAGCTGTGTCTCCAGCAGCTCGTGCCCCTGGAGGTTGACCCCAGTTCCAGCAACGTGCTCATGTTTTGTGGGTGAGAATAAGTCCCTAGCACAAGTGTGAAAAGGTGCTTCCGCTTTCTCACAATATGGAAATAAAAAGTGATGTTTCAATCTGGAGATAGCCAGAGCACAGGATACAACTTTAACAACCCATTTGTATGCAAATCTTAAGCCGACATGATTAAGGGGAGGACACGTGTACGCCTGCACCTTTGGAAACCAACGGAAGGCACTGTTAGGGCTATTCAAGTCTGTGTTTCAGTGCTAGCTTTTTCACAAGGAATTGTTGTGTTATTGTTGTGTTACATTTTTGTTTTAAAAGCAAGTGATGCAGAAAAAACCTTTTAATCTCAAATACATTCCATGAAAAATTATGTATATGTAACACAATATTAGCTTTGTAAATGTTCCTTTAGTACTGGGTGAGAAATGTACGCAATAGCATCTGTTAGAATTTGCTTATGATGCTGTCATTTTATACTACCTACTAAAGATGTCTTTTATAGAGTTCAGTAGTTCCAGTACTATTTCACACTCCACACAGTTACTATAAAACAAACAATGTTTTATTTACTTCTCATGATATCCACTTTAACTCCAACTTTAAAATATATTAAAAAGTCCATCCATCCATCCATTTTCTTACGCTTATCTGGGGCCGGGTCACGGTCGCAGCAGTCTAAGCAGGGACTCCCAGACTTCCTTCACCCCAGACAAGTCCTCCAGCTCCTCCCCCCGGAGGAGGATGCGTTCCCAGGCCAGCTGAGAGACATAGTCCCTCCAGCATGTCCTGGGTCTTCCCCGGGGCCTCCTTCCGGTGGGACATCCCCGGAAGACCTCCCGAGGGAAGCGCCCAGGAGGCATATGGAACAGATGCCCGAGCCACCTCAGCTGGCTCCTCTCGACGTGGAGGAGCAGCGGCTCTACTCCGAGCTCCTCCCGTGTGACTGAGCTCCTCACCCTATCTCTAAGGGAGCGCCCAGCCACCCTGCGAAGGAAGCTCATTTCGAGCACTTGTATCTGCCATCTCGTCCTTTCGGTCATTACCCAGAGCTCATGACTATAGGTCAGGGTAGGAACGAAGACTGACCGGTAAATCGAGAGCTTTGCCTTTCAGCTCAGCTCTCTCTTTACCACAACGGTCCGATACAGCAACCACATTACTGCAGACGCTGCACCGATCCGCCTGTCAATCTCACGTTCCGTCCTTCCCTCACTCGTGAACAAGACCCCGAGATACTTGAACTCCTCCACTTGAGGCAATGACTCCCCACCCACCCGGAGAGGGCAAGCCACTTTTTTCCGGTCGAGAACCATGGCCTCGGACTTAGAAGAGCTGATCTTCATCCCAGCCACTTCGCACTCGGCTGCAAACTGCCCCAGTGCACATTGCAGATCCTGGCTTGATGGAGCCAACAGGACAACATCATCTGCGAACAACAGAGATGAAATCCTGTGGTCACCAAACTGGACCCCCTCCGGCCCCTGACTGCGCAAAGGGCCCCGGACCCCATACTCCCAGAGCACCCCCCACAGGACACCACGAGGGACACGGTCGAATGCCTTCTCCAGATCCACAAAGCACATGTGGACTGGTTGGGCAAACTCCCATGAACCCTCAAGCACCCAATGGAGAGTGTAGAGCTGGTCCAGTGTTCCACAGCCAGGACGAAAACCACACTGCTCCTCCTGGATCCGAGGTTCGACTATCGGCCGGATTCTCCTCTCCAGTACCCTGGCGTAGACGTTACCTTGGAGGCTGAGGAGTGTCATTCCCCTGTAGTTGGAACACACCCTCCGGTCCCCCTTCTTATACAGAGGGACCACCACCCTGGTTTGCCAGTCCAGAGGTACTGTCCCTGACCACCACGCGATGTTGAAGAGGTGTGTCAGCCAAGACAGCCCCGCAACATCCAGAGACTTAAGATACTCAGGACGGATCTCATCCATCTCCGGGGCCTTGCCACCAAGGAGCATGCTGGCCACTTCAGTGACTTCAGTCAGGGTGATGGACTAGTCCGCCTCCGAGTCCCCAGCCTCGGCTTCCTCCTCAGAAGACGTGACGATGGGATTAAAGAGATCCTCAAAGTATTCCTTCCACCACGGGACAACGTCCCCAGTCGAGGTCAACAGTTCTCCCCCCTCACTGTAAACAGTGTTGGTGAAGAACTGCTTCCCCCTCCTGAGGCGCTGGACAGTTTGCCAGAATCTCTTTGAGACCATCCAGTCATCCTCCTCCATGGCCTCCCCGAACTCCTCCCAGATCTGAGTTTTTGCCTCTGTGACGGCACGGGCTGCAGCACGCTTGGCCCGCCGGTACCCATCAGCTGCTTCAAGAGTCCCACAAGCCAACAAGACAAGACTCGATAGGACTCCTTCCTTAGCCTGACGGCATCCCTTGCTTCCGGTGTTCACCATCAGGTTCGGGGGAATACCGCCATCACAGGCACCACAGATATTACGACCACAGCTACGAGCGGCCGCATCGTTAATAGAGGCTGAGAACGAAGCCCACTCGGACTCCATGTCCCCAGCCTCCCCCGGAATCCGGGAGAAGCCCTCCCGAAGGTGCAAGTTGAAAGCCCCTCTGACAGAGGGCTCTGCCAGACATTCCCAGCAGACCCTCACTACACGCTTGGGCCTGCCAGGTCTTTCCGGCTTCCTCCTCCACCAGCGAACCCAAGTCACAACCAGGTGGTGATTAGTTGACAGCTCTGCCCCTCTCTTCATCCGAGTGTCCAAGACACGCAGCCGGAGGTCAGATGACATGACTACAAAGTCGATCACCGACCTCCGGACTAGGGTGTCCTGGTGCCACGTGCACTTATGGACACCCTTGTGCTCGAACATGGTGTTTGTTATGGACAAACTGTGACTAGCACAGAAGTCCAATAACAGAACACCACTCGGGTTCAGATCAGGGAGGCCGTTCCTCCCAATCACCCCTCTCCAAGTGTCACTGTCGTTGAAGTCTCTCAGTAGAACAACGGAGTCACCGGTCGGTGCACTGTCTAGTTCCCCTCCCAGGGACACCAAGAAAGCTGGGTACTCTGTAATGCTGTACGACCTGTGGGCCAATACCACAGTGAGAGACCTGCCCCCAACCCGAAGGCGCAGGGACGCGACCCTCTCGTTCACTGGGGTGAACTCCAACACACGGCGGCTAAGCTGTGGGGCAAAGAGCAGGTCCACACCAGCCCGCCGCCACTCCCCGCGGCCAACGCCAGAGAAATAGAGAGTCCAGCCCCTCTCAAGGAGTTGGGTTCCAGAGTCCAAACTGTGCGTGGAGGTGAGGCCAACTATATCTAATCGGTAAAGCTCAACCTCCCGCACAAGCTCAGGCTCCTTTTCCCCCCCAGCGAGGTGACATTCCATGTCCCCAGAGCTAGTCTACAGAGATGTGTGCAGAGTGTCCAGAGATCCGGTCGTCGAGGTCCTCCGCCTTCGACTGCCACCCAGATCTACTTCCACCGGCCCCATATGGCTCCTTCGGGCGCCCCGTGGGGGAAGGCCCGGCCACCAGGCGCTCGCCATCGAGCTCCCACCCCAGGCCTGGCTTCAGGGTGGGGCCCCGGTAACGCCATTCCGGGCAACGTAGCTGGCCTTTGCGTTGAACTCATCATATGGCGCTTCTGAACCTTTTTTCGTCTGGACCCCAGGACCTGTTTGCCTTGGGTGACCCTACCAGGGGCATGAAGCCCCCAACAACATAGATCCCGGGATCAGTCGGGCACTCAAACCCCTCCACCACAATAAGGTGATGGAACAAATATTAAAAAGTAGGTTCATCAAAATGATTTGCAGTATATTTACATTCAGTTTGTAGTATTTAAAACAAATTCACGTTAAAGCCAAATTCTTGCAATAGAGAATGTGAGATAATCTTTCTGCCTGTTTAGTCATGTCAAATGTGCAGTCAAAACTGTCAGAGGAAAGTGAATGTTTGAGAAACATGTGGACGGTTAAATTGCTTCTTTTATCTCTGTCACCAAAGACACTCTTTATTTGGTGACAGAGTCAAGGAGATTTGAATGAAATGCTGTCAGTTCTCAACACGGTAAATGTTCCTGTTAGACCGTAAATGAATGGAAATTTATAACATGAAATGCTTTTGGAAATCCAGGGATGTACAAAGTGACAGCAAATTGGTAGTCAAGTGTTTGCCATATTGGTCACCTTGACAGTGCACATGATTAAAGCGACCTAATGTGGTTCTAACAGAATTTCATGCCAGTGGTCATAACAACAGACCTATTTAAATTATCTGTAATATTAGTTATCATAAAGGCATCATAAAGAATTATATCAAAACATGCACAAAATTTGTTCAAAAATGAGCCTGTTTTGTTGTGTGTTTTTGGTTATTAATTTATTGGTGTTGTTTGGTTCAGAATGTGCTTAAAGTATGATTCATCACATCAACGAGTTCTGGGGCCTCTTTTATAAAGCTCTTATGCACAAATCCTTGTGTTGGCGCTCTTTACGCCAACTGCAGGATTTATGAAACTCCTACTAAGTGCCACGCTTTGCTTATCTCTGTGGAAGCTACGACCCTGCCATATGCTCTGCGTAGAGTCTGGAGACACGGGGAAAAAGCGACACTCATGGCAAGGAGCAGAAGTGAAGAGAGTTTGAGGAAGTGTTTCATCAGGAAATTTATCTGAAAATACACGTATATAAAGTAATTACATTCAGTTTTGTGCATTTAAGCAGAAATTAACCAAAATACAGAGAAGGGCTGTTTATTCCACTTATTATTCGTGACAATATTATACATTTGAAACTCGTGCGCGTGCACTTTCCCGGTGCAGCACAAGGTCTCCCGCAATCCATGACTATAGACTTCTATAGCTCTCAGTCTGTAGCTGTGACCCAACATAGAGGACGAAATAATGACCGGAACTGAGAGCACAGGAGCCAGACTTTGGTTTAATGAAGCACTGGGACTAAACTCCAACCATGAGCGCCAGAGTGGCCCGAGTCTGCGCACAACACGAAACCTACAGGCCAAACCTGACCCAAACTCAACCTGCGCACTCATAGAGGTAAGCAGAGTTTTGATGTTTTGTGTGGACTTTTATTGGCAGAATAACATCACCTGATATGTGTCTGATGTGTCACATGCCAGATCTGTGTTCTTCCTGCCGAAACGCTCGTTCCCTGGCTGCTGATGCACATATTCCTCCCTCGCACCTTTTGCTTTCCCGGGGAGGGATCTGAATCTCTCGCACGCGCTCATAGCGCCCTCCTTTGACCATTCAGACCACCGCGTGCATGTATCTACTAATGTATGTGCATAAACAGGACCAGTCCCCACACACACATCATAGGCATTCTTAAAAATATAGTGATAAAACTCTTGAAATAGCGAGAAAACAATTCAGGTTTATTGCAAAGATGTGCTGCTTAAATATTATGAAATATTATTAAATAAACAGATGAGTCGTTGTTGTCACTTTTAGTTTTGTACTTTATTTGTAAAACCTTTAAGCCTTTGACGTGACCATGTGGTGCTGCGTGGAGCGTCCCATCCTTCTTTGTCTCGCGTGTCTCGGTCAAACCCACTTTAGGGAAATCTCATTCACGAGTCAGTTTGCATGGTCCTTTTATGGTGAAGTGGAGGTGTGGAGAGGGCGTGACTTCATGTGCACAGATTCTAGCTGCAGTTGCAATCTATAAAGCACAGATTGCGTGGCTCAGCGTGTGCGGAGGGTTTTCTAAATTTGGAGTTTGCGTGGCGCACACCTCTGGTGGCCACTAGGAGTACGCATTATCTTAGGACAACTTCTATGTAGTTCTTTATAAATGAGGCCCCTGGACAGTATTTTCAGATTCTTTGTCTGAATTTTGAGTACTCATGGTCAGACTATGCCTTGTAGAGTCTCCTTGGCAGCATGTCCGTTTGTCCACATTTTCTCCCTTTAACCTTAAGCATTAAGAGCTTTGCCGGCCGAAGCTGCGTGTACATTAGATTGAGTGTCTGTGTGTGTCTCTCAGGTGCGTGCAGGAATACAAATTGTCAGCGGATGGGCGCTCGTGTGTGCTGCAGTCAGACAACTGTGAAGGAGCCAAGTGCCCACGGCAGGATGTCCACTTCAATGACACCCTGTTCGGAGAGATGCTGCATGGGTACAACAACAAAACGCAACAAGTCAACCTGGGACAGATCTTCCAGATGACCTTCCGGTAACTAACACGCACTCCCACTCCCCTCCATGGGAACAAAGTTTGAATGAAGGGTGAGGGGATTTTTGACAACTTTTCTTGTGACAAAACATTTGACATTGGGTGGAAAGAAGAGATGGGAATGCAAACTTACTTTTATTCAGAATAGAAGATGCATGTAAAACAATGCTTTTGAAAACGTAAGATATACAGTAGTTTCACACTTGATGAAAGTCACACATCTCACATGTGTTAAAACAGAGCAACAGCGGGCTTGAAATAGTCAAGGTGTAAAAATGTTGAGAAAGACGCATTTTAACATTCCTTAGTATAAAATAAGCATTGTAGAAAAGAGGAGGCCATGATACAATACAGAAAATTACACAGAAACATTTCCCCTCTCCTTTATTGTTATATTACACAAAACATATATGTACCGGTAAAAATCTCAACATCTGGTCGGCCCATTTCACTCACTACCCCCAAAAGGGGTAACATTTGTTATCACTTAATTATCACCTAGCTGTTACCAATGCTGTATAATTATCTTAGTGTTAAAGTACATTTTATTATCCTTGTAGGAAACTTTGTCCTTTGCATTTGACTCCTTCAGTCTGTACTGTGTTGTTCTGGGACAACCTGTCAGGAACAGTGGGTGCTGCAGTGCAGTGCCAGGGGACCCATCTCCAGATCTTGAACAAAGCTTGGTTAGAGCCACTGTAGCTGTTGGATTTAACCTGTGCATGTTTTGGGAAACCCACCTAGACACTTGGAGACAGAACTGTGACAGCAGGATGACATTCACAAAAATCAATTTTCTGTGCCATAGATTTGTCTGTGCATGTGATTTCTGAGCAGATTTGAGCTGCTGTAATTCAATCAGCCAGTCTAATAGGAAATAGTTTAGATGTGGTTAGTTTGTTTGTTGTTTTCTTCTATAGTCTTCTGTAGTCCTGTGCTGACATTTGTTTTACTGTACACTTTTCAACACACTTCTCTTGAGTAACTGTTTACACCTCTCTGCCAACACCTCCTGTCAACAGTAGTTTTGGTTGCCTTTTATCTATCTGTTCTTGTGGGACACATTGAAATGCACTGGTTCTCAGTCACTGTGCTGCAGTGAGGTTTTGTGCTGCTGTGTGGTGTGTATGTATTCTTTACATGTTGGAATATGGGAGTGAGCAGAATGAAAAGGGAGCCCAGGGAGCGTGGCAGTTGAGCAGGGATTGAGACTTATCCCATAGCTGTCCCTGTTAAACTGTCAGACCTGGTGTTCCCTGATAAGTGCTGCACTGTACAGAAATGCATCAGTAATCGCACACTGTTAGAGGAGCCTATCTACACACAAATAGAGGATGTGTGTAATAAAAGTAACATGCTATGAAATGATAACAGGCTGGCACCATGGCCGCTCTTGTGCTCACTGATGTTCGCAAAGTGGCTTTTAATATCATGAACTAGTGTCACATGGCAGAATGAGACTACAGGACTCTGTTCTTCATGAGGTGTTTTTTGAGAATGGTCTTGATGTATATCAGACCTAATATAAGATAGCATGATAATATTCAATTATTAATTAAATTGTTTTTGAAAATATCTAATTTAATTTAGTTTTATTTATGAGCCTTTTTCCAGTATCAATATTTGTTCAAATGTCTATTTTTATATTCATTTGAACTTATTTTGTCTAACTCTATATTCACACAGGTAGTAGGTGAGGTAGTTCCATTTATAAAGGACTTGTATTTCGTGTGTTGCAATGTGGCATTGTGTATTTGCTATAAGAATGATTCTTTGTTTAAATTTTGATTAAACAGAGCTCAGCATTTCTCCCAACTGTATAAGCCTATTGAACGATTCATCCAAAAAGGTATTTTACAGTTATGCTGCATTGAGCCGCACCATGTCCAGGTTATTGTTATTGCTTTGAGTGGAATTTTCCACAGTATGACAGATTAACATTAAGTCAAGTCAGATCACCTTAAGTAATAATGCAAGCATTGATTTTTAAATAGATGAATAAATGCAAAATAGATATATTTAATGGTGGCGCCAGTGGCAGACCTATTTGAAAAGTTACATAATGCACCGATAAAATTGTTAAATCCAAAATTAAATCATGTTTGACCACAATGGCTAGCATTTAAAATCTTTGGTGTCATTTTGCTTTTGTTGTAATAAAGACAATTAAATCTCTTCACTATCTCAGTGTAAAATGGCAGAGCCTACAGCCTGTTGACACTATAGAGTTACACCTTGTCAGTCTAAATCTTCAGTTCCTCTCCATACATTTAAATGCAGTTGAGGCATATTTGAGGTTGTTAAATGTAGTCTGTCAGACAGAGTTGATCCATGCGCTTGGGGGACACAGAGAACATTGATGCTGCAGACTCCAGCCGTTCACCCTGGTTACATCAAAGTGAGGCCCGGAGAGAGATTTCCACACAGGCCAGGCTCTGCAGGCTTTACTGGCAGCAGGTTTAAACTAGTCAAACAACCGGCTAGCCCCAAGACATAATAGACAACAAAAGATGATCCTCAAAGAAGGCTGTCTGGCAGAACTCATTATCAAGAGACAGTTACCTTTTTATATTCTAACTGGCAAGTCTATTCTCCTGTCTTATTTTACAAAATCATTGTTATGTTTTTTTATATATATATATATATATATATATATATATATATATATATATATAGATAGATATAGATATAGATATATATATATATATTACATTTTTTAAATGTTTCATGAAACTAAATCATGCTACATGATAGGGCTGCAATCAGTCATCAACTAATCATCATAATAACTGTAATTGTAATTGTAAAATGTCTGGACTATGAAAACACATGCCAAAAGACCTTTTATAAAAGAGACAGCATCATTATTAAATCAAAATGTCAAGAAAAAAATTCATCAACAATGCACTCTATTTGTAAATATTGTCTTTATAGAAGCCTCAGTCAATATATTTTAACCAATAATAAATAATTATTTGAATAAACGACTACTAAAATAATGTTAGTTGCAAGCCCCTACTGACTTTGTGAAATTCAAGAATCAAAACAATAATGCCTCTAGCATTATGAGGTATGTCTGCGAGACACTGATATTAAACCACAATTGGGCTTATGATCTTTATTGATGGACCTAAAAAAGACGGAGGGACTTTATAGTCCTGAAGTGCAGTCAGCTGTGGTCAATAAATATCTCACTAAAAGGACAGAATCAGCACTGAGTTAAAATTTAACAGCCACTTAGCCACAGCTCTGCTTGCTACATTTGTGCGTTATAAAAGGCCAGTCCCGACTCTTATTTAGCTCTGAAATCAATGTTCCCACTGTGCTGCACTATTCATTTGCTCTGAGAGTTCTGTGAAATACAAAATCTTTCACCTCACTTTTGATTCTATTACCAATATCTAATTTACGCCTGCTTCTGAGGAGCCAACTGATTTCCATGATAATTGTGTGTAAACAGCAGATTGTTGTCGTTATACATGCACTGTTGATTACATGCACATGTCTGGTAGCTAATGACACTTCTTGAGGTGAAAATGTATCACAAATGAAGCACAAACAGCTTTTATACAATCCAGCCAAGTGTGCTGAGCACCACTGATATAAATATATGGAAGTCATGATGATTGGACTTATGAGAATTCCATCAATGTTTCTGTATTATTATTATTATTATTATTATTAATGACTTTTGTCTGTGTAATCCCTCAGTCGTCCAGGTAGGATCTGAGCAGCATCTTTTGCAATTAATTAATTTTCTTTATGCCCACTGATCCTGAATAGATTTTTTTCATGCATTGTTAATTTAAGCTATACCTCTAAATTATTACAGTGTGAGAAACTTGTTTTACACTTTAAATTAAGTGTGTCAAAGTGTGAGAAGGTGTTGTTGTTAATCAGGGGATTTAAAAATAGTTAAAAGTCACAGAATAAAGTAATTAAAAATGTGTGTGTTTTGTCTAAGCAAAGGTGTTATGTATGCTTTGTGATGTGGTGAGGAAGGAAATCTATATATGGAAGAAAAATACTTTAATTCTGATCATGATGTCGTTTATTTTTAAGCGGGGGCATCAACACCATGAACACATTTTGTCCTAAAGTGAATAAATAATGAATAATTTGCTGACCTGGCAGCCCGCATCGCTTATAGGCATAAACACAGCACCATTTCCATGTTTCTTATAATCTGGTGTAATTATGTCCTTGGTGTGCACGCCGAGCGGCTCTGTCCACAAACTTTACACAGGCTTTTCTTCTCTCCTAATGAGTAGCCATGAGACATCACTCCAGACTGCACAGGTGAAGGGTTAAGCTGCTCAAGGTTGATGAGGAAATTCTTAACTCCCTTTCCAGAAATAAATTATCTGACGACTTCTTTATTAGCTCCAAGTAACTTTGCTGTTTACCAAAAATGAGAGGAGAGATGCCTTTGAATATGTTTTCTTTTTCTCAGCTACAGTAAGAAATCACTCCAAGTAGACCCCTCTGAGGAGCTGACAGTAATGGTAGCAGTTCTAATATAAATTTAGTGTAAAGTGCAGTAAAATGGCTCTCGCTGAAACAACAAATGACTGTGAGTCACTGAGTTTTTGTCAGTCAACTATCCACCAAACATGTACTGAGCAGTGGAAATGTTTTCTGGCTATTACATATTTAGAGTTACTGAAATGGGCTACAGTGAAAATATGTTATACTTATTCTGCTTTTTTCTTTTTTTTTTTTTTCATATTTTTCATTTCATTCCATTTCTAGATTCTCATAGAAGACCTGTACTCAATTCTTATCCCATGTGTTTGAGCAAAATATTGTATAAGGAGCTCTTGAGGTTAAAATATGTCCTCTTCACATTGTCTACATCTAATCATAAACTGTTTTATTGTCCGATTATCATGAAGTAAGTGTTAGCATGCTAGTTGTTATTAGCTTTAACATCTCCGCTCCGGTCTGTGAGAGTTAAAAGCAGTGAATCAGTAGAATGCTCGGATTGCGAAAAGTAAGAG